GAGCGCTCAGTGACTGTTCCTTGAATGACTTAATCCACACGTCTAATAAAGGATTTTCAATGAATATTAGCGATTTCACTAAGAAGAAAGACAGGATGTCTGTGTCTGGGACTGTACTGTACGTGGACTGAGCAGCTCTCTTTCCTCTTCTACCCACTGGATGGAAAGAGAATGAAAAGAGCAAAGTAAGGAATATGCTGTGTTTGACAAATTAAGAGGCTAAGTTAAGGGTGGTGTACAAAGGGAGGCGCTGGAGAGTTTACAACAAAATAAGTGTCCGCAGAAAGCTAGCATTTTGCATGTGTCTCTTCTCCTCCCTAAAATGTATGTAGTGCAGTTAATGAGAGTTCAGACTTCTGAACTAGGATGCTGAGTTTGAATCTACCTTCTGATAATGCCTAGCTGTATGGCCTTGAGCAAGTCACTTATTGCACGTACCTCCTAGGGTTGTTGTGGAGATGCGGTAATATGTAATGTAATCTCTATTTTACAGATGAGGAAAATGAAACAGAGAGATTAATATATGGCCAACACTCTACATGGCAAACACAATTTAAGTGTTTGCTGCTATTGTTGCTGCTGCTGATATTATTTTGGAAAGCGAAAACCCTGTCCTCCTTCATAAAAAAAATAGAGGTCCCAAAATCACAAACCCACGGTGTATGCACCAGGATGAGTTCCAGTGTTCAGACCCCTACTCCTTGTCCGAGAGCAGTGATCATTTCTCTCCATTTATCTGTTTCACTATATTTGTATCATTTTAAAGATAAATAGAATGATAATCACTTCCTGAAATATTAATCAGCTCCAATCTCATGTAGTTGCCTTGTGTCATGTCTTCTTTTCCTTCTGTGTATAATTTGCCCAAAGCTTTTTCTTCTCATGATTCCCTTAAGTCTGCCTAATTATTCCTTTGAAGACATCTCTAATTGGCATTCAGCATTCATTTATCATTAATTGCAACCTGTCCTCTGACCCTTTTCAAGGAACTCTGGGAAACAGATCAGAAGAGTATACAGTTATGGTAAGGCCCATGGTATTCTAAGCTTCCTGCACAAAACCACCAACACAACATACCAGAATTACTCCCACAGTGTTTATTTCTAATGCAAAAACTTAATTCAATTCAGTAAGCAAATTCTGAATTACAATATTTTTAGCTGAAAATTCTGTTAGGACTCTTCTTACAGTAAGCAACAGAGGCCATTGAATTTCAATGTCAACAATTTATGTGGTCAGAAACATTAAGTCAACATTTACTGAAGATCTAGAATACAATTTATTTTACTTATTGACTCATGAGAAGCTAACCTAGGATATTTCAGATAAATACATTTAGTCGCACTCTTACTATTCATCTGGTAGTTACTTTTCAGGTTAAAGAGTTAAAGTAACATGGAACTTGCAATGCTTCAGGCTCTGAAACAGGGAGACTAAAAATCTATTTCAGGTGTGAAAATTCCAGGAGTTTAAGGTGATGCCATTTACAGATGGGTTGGGCTGCTCCATAGAAACAATGATTGAGAAAGTATTGGGTGTCAGGTTGTTTGCAGCACCAGAGCACAAGCAAGTGTTCAGCTGGTAGGAATCTGGTGGAATGCCAGGCATCAGGCTTCTTGAAGGACAAGGACAGGCTATTCATGGTGCCTGGCCCTATGGCACCCAAGTGGCTGGAAAGACCTTACCCGATATGGTCTTGGATAGCTATAAAAATGTGCTCAAGTATTAGAAACATAACTGTTCACTCAGGAAGTAGGTACAGTATTATATTTTTAAAAATTTTCTCTAGAAAATGGCACATATAATTTATAATTTATAGTTTCACAGTTATCATTATAACTATTGGCTATTTCTATTTTTATGCTTTTGTAAGAACAAGTCATTAAGGGACACTTCATGGCTCCAAACAACTATCTTCACACTTCTTCCCTTGGCCTGACAGGCGTTTGGTGGCCTGGCCTCTGCCTCTTTCCATTACTTTCTTCTACTAGAGAGAAACCACAATGGTTTCTTTGCTATTTCTGGAACTAGCCAAGCATATTTGTGCCTTGGATGTCTTTTAATAGACTTTATTTTTTTGGAGAAATTTTAGGTTCATAGCAAAATTGAGCAGAAGGTACAAAGATTTCCCATATAAATCTGCCCCTACACATGTAAAGCTTCCCCCACTATCGACATCCCCTACCAGAGTGGGGGATATTTTTTTATAACTGACAAACCTACAGTAACACATCATTATTACCCAAAGTCAATAGTTTGTTAGGATTTATTCTTGGTGTTGTGCATTCTTTGGGTATGGACAAACGTATAATGACATATATCTACCATTGTAGTATATCGTAGAGAGTGGTTTCTCTGCCCTAAAAACTTGGTGCTCTGCCTATTTATCTCTCCCTCCCCCAACTCTTGGCAAACACTGGTCTTTTTACTGTGTCCATAGTTTTGCCTTTTCCAGAGTATCATATGGTTGGATTCACAAAGTATGGAGTCTTTTCTGACTGGCTTCTTTCACTTGGTAATATGCGTTTAAGTTTCCTCCACGTATTTTCATAGCCTTTTAGCTCATTACTTTTTGGCACCGGATAATATACCATTTCCTGGATGTACCACAGTTTATTTATCCTCTTACCTACTAAAGGACATCTTGGTTGCCTCCAGGTTTTGGCAATTATTAATAAAGCTTCTATAACATCCCTGTGCAGGTTTTTGTGTGGATGTGTTTTCAATTCGTTTAGTAAATGCCAAGGAGTGCAATTACTGGATTGTATAGTAAGAGTATGTTTAGTTTTGTAAGAAACTGTCAACTGTCTGCCAAAGTGGCTGTACTACTCTACATTTCCACCAGCAATGAATGAGAGTTTCTGTTGCTCCACATGCTCACCGGCATTTGGTGTTGTCAGTGTTCTGGCTTTAGACCATTCTAATAAGTGCATAGTGGTACCTCACTGCTGTTTTTATTTGCATTTCCCTGATGACATATGATGTAGAGCATCATTTCATGTGCTTATTTGCCCTCTATATATCTTGGTGAGATGTCTGTTAAGGTCTTTAGCCCATTTTAAAGTCAGGTTGTTTGGTTTCTTATTAAGTTTTAAGATTTTTTTTTTTATTTTTGGTATATTTTGGACAGCAGTCCTTCATCAGATGTCATTTGCAAATATTACTCCCAGTCTGTGGCTTGTATTCTCATTTTCTTGACATTATCTTTTACAGAGCAGAAGTTTTTAATTTTAATGAAGTCCCGCTCATTAATTAGTTCTTTCTTTTGAGCTATATAAAAAAAGTAATTGCCATATCCAAGGTCATTAGGTTTTCTCCCATGTCTTCTAGGAGTTAAATAGCTTTGCATTTTACATTTAGGTCTCATCCATTTTGAGTTAATTTTTGTGGGGACCTTTGTTGATGCTTCTGCATTTTCTACATAGATGATCATGTAGAAACAGTTTTATATTTTTTTCTTTTCAATCTATGTGCCTTTTATTTCTTGTTTTCTTTATTGCATTAGCTGACTGATTTTGCTATTAGGATAATGCCGGCCTCACAGGATGAGTTAGGAATTATTTCTTTTGCTTCTATCTTCTGAAAGAGATTGTAGGGAATTTATATGATTTTTTTTCTTAAATATTTGGTAGAAGTCACCAGTGAACGTATCTGAATCTAGTGCTTTTTGTTTTATAAGGTTATTCATTGTCAATATAATTTCTTTAATAGATGTAAGCCTATTCAGATTATCTATTTCTTCTTGTGTGAGTGTTGGCATATCATCTTTCAAGGAATAGGTCTGTTTCACCTGGGTTATCACATTTATAATCATAGAGTTGCTCATAGTAGTCCTTTATTATTCTTTTAATGTCCATGGGATCTGTAATTGTATTCCCTCTTTCATTTCTGCTATTAGCAATTTGTGTCCTCTCTCTTTTTCTTAGCCTGGCTAGAGACTTATGGATTTTATTGATCTTTTCAAAGAGCCAGCTTTTAATTTTATTGATTTTTCTTTATCAAATTTTCTGTTATCAATTTCATTGATTTCTGCTCTAATTTTTATTATTTCGTTTCTTCGGCTTACTTTGTATGTAATTTGCTCTTGTTTCTAGTTTCCTTACTCTGAAATCAGTTCTTTATGAAATTAATATATTTATTTCTTTTGATTAGTGTTAGCATAGTACATCTTTCTCAATTCATTCACTTTTAATCTATATGTGTCTTCATATTTCAAATGGATTTCTTGTAGGCAACATATAATCGGGTCTTATTTTTTTAATCCCTTTTGATGATTTCTTTTTTTAATTGGTGCATTTAGACCATTGACATTCAAAATAATTATTGATAGAGTTGGGTTGATGTCTACCATGTTCGTTACTGCTTTTGATTTCTTGCCCTTGTTCTTTATTTCCATTTTTGTCTTCCACTCTTTTTCTGCCTTTTTGAGTTTTAATTGAGCATTTTATGATTCCATTTTTTCTTCCTTCTTAGCACATCAGTTATACTTCTTTTTTAGTGGTTGCAATAGAGTTTGCAATATACATTTACAACTAATCTAAGTTTACTTTCAAATAACACTATATTGCTTCACAGGTAGTGTCATTACCTTATAACAAAATAATACTAATTCTTCCTGTTCTTTGTATCATTGCTGTCATCTATTTCACTTCTATATAAGCAAATATAGGCATATATATATGCATACATAAGCATAGATGTGTATGTGTATATATATATATACACACACATATATACATAGCATATATAGTCAAATGAAGTATTACTATTATTATTTTGAACAAACTGATACATGTTAGATCAATAAGAAAACTGAAAGTTTTTATTTTATATTCTCCAATATCTTCTTTATCTAGATATGAGTTTCTGACCTATATCATTTTTTCTCTGTAAATAACTTCTTAACATTTCTTACAAGTCCTCTATTGTCAACGAATTCTCACAATTTTTACTTTTTAAGAGTCTTTATTTCTCAGGGTACAGAATTCTAGATTGGTGTTTTTTCTTCCCAACACTTTAAATATTTCACTCCACTGTCTTCTTATTTATATGATTTCTGAGAAGTGAGATGTAATTCTTATTTTTGCTCCTCTATACATATGCCTCAGCATAGTTTTTGTTTTTGTTTCTTTTTTTCTGGCATTTATCCTGTTTGATATTCTCTGAACTTCCTGGATCTTTGGTTTGGTATCCAACATTAATCTGAGAAATTTCTCGATCACTATTTCAAATATTTCTTCTGTTCCTTTCTTTCCTCTCCTCTGGTATTCCCATTACGTTTATGTTATATTTTTTGTGGTTGTCCCACAGTTCTTTGTTATTCTGTTCCAGGGTTTTTGTTTATTTGTTTGTTTGTTTTCTGTTTGCTCAATCAGTTTTGGAGGTTTCTATTGAGATATCTTCAAGTTCAGAGATTCTTTCCTTGGTCATGTCCAGTCTACCATAAGCCCATAAAAGGCATGTATTTTTTATCTATAACATTTTTTTTTTTTTCGTTCTTAAAATTTCCACACCTTTGCTTACATTTCCCATCTGTTCTTGACTGATGTCTGTTTATCCACTAGAGCCCTTGGCATATTAATTATAGTTGTTTTAAATTCCCAATCTGATAATTCCATACATGAATCTGGTCCTGATACTTGCTCTTTCTCCCTCTTCCAACTGTGTTTTTAGCCTTTAATGTGACTTGGAATATTTTCTTGAGATTGATAAAACTTTCACCATTGACTAATTTTTATTTGTATTTGCCTATTTGTATAGTATTATAAATAACACTATATCTATGTTTTACTTAGAAGCTCTTTGTATAATGTATCAAGCATTACACAAATATATATACAGGATTTTATAAACACTTTCACCTTTTAAATCTTATTTCCAGCTGTATTTTCACAGCAGCTCTTCCATGGGCAGAGCAGATAATATTGTTTCCACTGTCACAGAGCAGGAATTCCAGCTGCCAAGAGGGGTATCTCCGCTGAGGTCATGTGGCTCAGGGTTGGCCTAACAGCTGTCCTGAGAAATTTCATTATCTGAATCACAAGTCTGCCCCCTGCTGGCTCCTCAAACCTGTTACTGTTAAAGTGTACTGACCACTTGCTAGAAGCTTTGTAGCTGAGGATTGGTAGAAGGCCTGGATTCAAGGACAGTCCTGTGTTTGAAAAGAAGGCTACTTACTGTGTCTCTGTGTCTATTTGGTTTCAACAGGGCCATAAGCTCCATGAAAGCCGGGGTTTTTATCTGCTTCATTTGCTATGGTATGCCCAGAATATTAAATCAAATAAATTTATGTCAAATGAATGAATGAGAACATGAAACTTTCCAAACCTTAGTTTCTTAGTCTGAAAAATAGGGATAAAAATAACTCGATTCATGGGGCTGTAACAGGATTTAATTAAGTAACAAGTTCATACGATGTTTTACAATGCTCATAGTATAAAAATATTTTAATACAATTCAAAATATAATCCAATTCTTAATTAAAAGCAATTTCCCAAATTGTGCGATTTATTCTTGGAGTAGAGAGCTCGTTGACTTAGACACATTTTCATATTTGGATTCCATAGTGTTCACTTCTTCCACAGTGGTATTTATAGTGGAGAACGCACCACAAGTACCTAGAGAAATATCCACTGCTGTTGG